GTACCCCTTCTGGAGTTACGAAACTGTGGAGCAGAACTCCACACATGCTCTGCAGCTGAGCTGTGTCTCTTTTACTCAAACATTCAATCCACAGTTTTAGACATTTACACATTAACAAACATATATACACATATAAATCTCAACATAATATTTCCACATACTCACATGAAATCTTTAACATTAAATTTCCAAACATTTATATCATACAATCATTGCTTCAGTTGACCACCTTTCAGCAGCTGCAAAAATGTACCAAGCGCAATTGCGAGGGAGTCTACTTACCCCAAAAATGTACCAAGTGCAATTGCGAGGGGGTGCGCTTACCCTTCTCCTACCTCTTATATACCAGTCATCGACAGGTCCGTCCTGGCTCCCAATACTGGGATGCAGCGATCACCCCGGATTTGCTCGATCTACCCCCAAGATCGCTAGCGGCCGCTCTATCGGTCAGCAAATCCCCCCTTGTTACCATACAGGGTACCCTCCTCCCATACGGGGACTACGCTGCACGCCAGACGTCTCTGTGTGATTTACCAGCTGCCCCGGCCCGTACTTTTACAGGCTCCCCTTGTAAAACATACCGTTTGGTCCGCGGCTTCAGGAGGTTGTTGTCTGCTCCTGCGGTGAGCAGCTGGCAGCGGAGGCTCCTCCGAGGAAAGTGCTCGGGGCACGCCGAGGGGCGTCCGCTCCGCAGTCGGTCCCGCAGCCGAGCAGAGAGTCTCCTGGCTGGCTCGCCAAACTGACGTGCGGAAAACAGACTCCACAATCAGTGAGATTGTAAAGTAGGTATGTTCATTCAGCGCTGGGCGGCACGGGGGGTAGTCCCACCAAAGTCGTGCGCGTGCGACTCGGCAGTTCGCCTCAAGTTTATACAGTCAGGTATTACATATTCACAATACGCCTATACATATGCATGACCTATCCCCGCTTCATATTAAAATTAGCTCCAAGAGGTCATTTCCATAGTCTCCTCTCAACTGCGCTTGCGCAGTGCCTCTTTATGGTGGTCGTCTGGTGGTCGCAGAGATGAAGATAGATGACTCCTCTTCGTCACCGCTAGTAACCTTTTTTCATGCGCAGGCTCAGTGGTTTCTTGGTATTCACCCAAGCTACAAGACCAGTCTTGGCTGGCTCTTGGGGCCAGCTCCTGCTTCTTATCAGGAACTGTCTCTGCCTCATTGGCTGGTTCTTGGGACCAGCTCTTCTTATCAAGGACTGTCTCTACCTCAGCTAATTTCAACAATGTAAGCACTAAACATCATCTTTCA